CAATCCCGGACATGCGTCACAGATGTGGGTTATTGCTTCCGTCGTGTTAGCCAGGTGGGCCGGGACAAATTGAATGAGCTGCTGTAGGATGCGCTCCAATACAATAGATACTCCAGTCGTTGGGCTGTCGCACGCTGCTACCACGGGTCGCAATGGTAAGTTCTGCTTATGGTCCTTTGGAAGACCATACCACTCGGGGAACTTCGTACTGCTTGGTAGGATTGACTTTAGGAGTTTTGAATCCATGTTCTTGCACTCTGACAGTATTACTTCTCGTGTCTTGGTCTCGTAGGACTCTATGGTCAAATCTACTTTCTCATACATGGTCATGTTCGATAATATGTCTTCTGCTTTCTGCAAATACAGCTCCTGTCTCATAGCAACGAGTTTTTTACTTTTATCCGATGGTTTGATGATGGTTTCTTGGTCTGTGCGAAGTCGCTTCAGCTCCACCCGCTCCTCCTGCGTCAGATTGGGCTTAGAGGGTGTGTGTCTGTCGTAAGCTCGTAACACCTCGTCGCGGAAGTTGGCCATGTTCCTTTCGTCTTTGTCGTCCATCTGTGGGGGCTGCTTAAAGCCACGCTTCATCAGCTTCCACAATTTCTTGTCGTGTCTGATCTCTGGCGGTGGGTCCTCCTCTTTGAGGTCCACACCCTGAGGCTGGGGCTGTTGCCACCGGAGGGTGAACGCCATCCTCTCAACCGATGTCTCAACATCTGTTCGTTCTTGCTTGGTGAGCCTCCCCGTCGACGGGACAAAGCTAGGTCCATGTTGTCTTATTGTATTCACGATGTGAAAGAAGTGCTGTGTTCAATGCTGTTAGTGCCGTGAACTATTTGTCGCCCTTCTCATGCATTTCCCTAGGCTGACTGTGCCTTGGAAATGGCTTCCTCCAGGACAAGATGCTTGGAATTCGCCGTCTCTCCTGAGACATGTTCAGCAAACTTTCAAACCTACGACATTATTTCATTCGTCAATCTCCACCACCCGTCGTCTCACCTGGCTTCAGAAGATGTTACGAGAGATAGGAGAGTCGCCAGGAAGCATCACATTCATCTTCAGGAAGTGGAAAGAGCAAACGGCATGGTCCTTGGTTGGGGGAAATGCTGAACGTCTGATTTGTCCCAACCAAGATTTCAGCATTTTGTTCGTCACTATTTTCGCTTGTCTGCTGGTGTCTCCGCGCTCCAGCTTTCTCCTATCGGTGTCACGTCCCAGTACACAACCGAGAGGACTACTAACAAACAGTTCACTGCACTTACAGCATTGAACACAGCCCTTCTTTCACTTCGTGAATACAATAAACCAATTGAAAATGACCAAATTCTGCAGTGATCGACCTTCTCTGTGGTGGAGCTAAGCCTTTCGTACGTCATCACTGCGCTGGTCGCTATGGCAACGTGAGTATACAATTGGCGATTTGGCAAGTTTGGCTTATCGTATGGAAGAGAGAGATATGCCATTCGAACCGATATCAAATTGTCTTTCTTCTGGACCATACTCGAAAAATCGATGCACTTCCCCTTTAATATTTGTAGAGTCTACGGTCATGACCCCATAAATGGCCCATACTAGTCCATCGGCCAAATCTCAGAAAGGGCCTCTTTCGGCGAAGGTGATGCACTGAAGCTCCAACTAAACGCCCTTTGGCACACTAGCTCATGAGACCCCATAGAATACGAATCCGATTGTTGGACGTTGCCAATCCAGTCCAGGATAGTCGAACTGGGTCGAATACCTTCTTCCGATTTTCGTAATTTCGTCCACCATTACATCTTTCTCATCGACTTTTTTTCGCTTGGCGAATGTTCTTGAGCCGCTGAGCAGAATCTACGCACGCTCGAACACTTGAAATGCCTGCATGTTGACGGTTCGCAAGATTCTAGCGAGCTTGGTGGAAATCTATTATTTATTTTGACATTTTTGGGGGAATCTGAATTAGAACGGTAGAAGCTCATTCGGAGAAGACGGCGTGTCGCCGCTGTCGGATTGTCGCTACTGTGTTTCAGACGTATTTGCTTGAACGTGCTATTGAGGATGGACAGAAGATGAAGTGACGGCTTTCTTGAACACGGACGTTGTGTCTACATTGTAGCTGAAACATCTCATCTGGCGTCTAGAACGCAATTATTATGAGTTGTGAGTGCCAGCTGAGCTGAACACAAGCTGGACACCATTCGTCAGCTGGGAATTTGCATCGAAGCTCTTGATAGCCACGATAAGTATAATTATACAGAGGTAACCTTGTTTGACTCAATACGCATGCAGGTGATACCGGGCCACTAGTGGCACTACAATGTAAATGGTGCAAAATTGATGCAACAGCGAATATGTACTTCGTACAATCACGAACAATTGTAAGGCAAGTGTTCATGCCTGTCATAGAAGAATTTCAGCCCGGAAGTATTGTTGTCATGGTCATAAATAGTACAGGACTTGAGTTGGCTCTGGACATAAACACACTTGTGTGTTGTGTGTGTGTGTGTGTGTGTGTGTAAGTTGTGGTGAATACGGTCATTATTGCGAGAAAAAAAATTCTATTTAGCCACTGTATGTTAAGTTAACACCTGATGCCGCACTACACGCAATATTTCATGTACATGTATGTGAGACTCAATTGCATCCACAAGGCCGTAGATGCATGTAAGCACACAATGCTGTACAGTATAAGTAGTAGTCGACATGTGGTGCCTTCCTGCTGCACATGCGGCAAGTTAGCAACGACACATGACCTATCTGCACCGCACAGCGTGAGCTTAGAAAGGAATATTGCACACATAGTGCTATTTGTGTTCCGATATCATTAAGCCGGTATACATGTACTAGTATCCTTATACATGTACCTGGTCACTCGATAGGCGATGCCGACTGTACTAATCTTATCCATATTACCCGACAGGCTATAGCACACTGTGTCAGATCACTATGCAACAAAACAAGAGCTTTGCCCGGGGCGAGTATACACTGAAGCAAAGTAGGTTTCAACGGTTCAGCACTAGTCACAATGAGGGGAGTTACGAGGATGGTTAGGCCGTGACACATAGATGATGATTGTTAATGATTCATGCATGGTGGAAAATTACCACCAATGGCGATGATATTGCTTTCACAACAATGACATCAGTAGGAGCAATGACACAACCTTACTGCTCCAAGTAGGATTTACAAGCGAGTGAAGGGAGAGCAGACTGGTCTAATAGCAAACCGGGTCTAAGCAAGGAAGTAATCGGCATCAGAGGTGAGCTTGCACATCAGAAAACAGATGATGATCACCAAACACAGAGAAGTTGGCTATCTGTATGTTTGTGTCACTGTGTGTGTGTGTGTGTGTGTGTGTGTGTGTGTGTGTGTGTGTGTGTGTGTGTGTGTGCATGTGTGTTTGTGTGTATGCGCGCACATCTGTGTGTGAGAGAGAGGCAGACAGACAGATAGCATATGGTGGGAGGGATCAAGGTCTGACCTCAGAGTTAAATGCTGACGGTGTGGAATAGCAACAGTGCGAAATCGGGCAGGGTGGTTAATGGCCCACACTGGAGCCGAGTAGGAGCGCCAGTGGTTGAGGGCTAGCACAGGAGTAGCAGCAGCTCCAGCCTAGGAAGATCAGCTTCTGGATGAAAATCTCCCGGGCACAGTAGGTACCAAGCTTCACTAGCAGATTGCCGGCAGGGGTGCACGGCGAGCACCCGTACATCCCTCAAGCCACCAGAGCCGCAGTACTTGGAGACGATCCAGGTGCTTACCCGCCAACAATGCTGAGAAGGCACTGGAGCCATACAGGAACTTATGATCGAGCATGACCACAGACTTGAAATACAGGGTCCGGCATTGAATACTGAGACAGCGACGTCTCCTCCACAGAACACCACTCAGCCCCACCATTGCATTATTTTCGCTTTTTCATGATTTTTTCAATTGTGTTAGAGCACACAGCACTCGATGCAACATTTACCAGTGACTAAATAACTCCGCGTCTCCGACCATAACTGCAGCGTTCCCGTGAGCCTGTTGGATTTCCGTCAGCCTGTTGAGAGTATCTTCATCTCGTCACATGTGAGCCTGTGTGTTTCATCCGTATCGTGGCACAATTACACAGACACGATTTCCAACTCAGGCCGGTTCCGTTGCTCGAAGGGTTGGCGGTAAGAATTGCTACGCCGTCTGTGGCTGCATGGGAGCTTGGCGAGTCGTCGTCTTTCTCCATAAATCCTGATCGTCACGCGAACAGCAGCCACTATTGCCTAAAAACTACGACACAACAGTATCAAGCTCGCCCCAGCAGAAGGACACGAATGACGAGCGCTAAGACGGAGAAAGAGAGACAGGGTTAGCGAGAGCTGACTAGTGCAGGTACGCTGTCATCTCCTGAGGTGGTGGGCGAAGCAGCGAAGTGAAACGAAGGAAGATAGAAGGCATACGGAGGCACCAAAACCTATTGCCTGTCACATACTAAGTGCCATTTAGGGTTGACAGCTGTCAGCTGACAGCCTCAAAAATTTGAAAATCTGCTCAAAAAACTCTCGATCAGAACTCTGCGCACTCTCAAATGGAGCGCACAGTAAAAAACTCGGCGACGAAGAACGCTTCGTATCGACGCCCTGGACTGAATTCGGCACGTCCAACAAACGGAATAGTGTTCTCTGATATATTCTCTACGTGCTGGGTATGGTCGCGTTTAGTTGGAAGCTCAGTGCATCACCACTTTCGATTTTGAGACTTGGCCGATGGACTATACGCAATACTGCCATATAGCCCCATATCCCGCTGTGGCCATGGCCCAGTCCATCCACCGACCGTAGCATGCAGCAATCGGTGGACGGAAAAAAATTAATCAAAAAAAATACTTCAAAACACGGAAAATACGTCATTATACTCAGTGCTCACGTGGTATTCTCATTGATTCATTATTATGGATCATGCACACAATGGCATATGGGCATGTGCATGATTGTGTGTGTGTGTGTGGATGATTCATATCGTCCAAAAAGAAAATACAGTATATG